TGATGCATAACAAGTGAATGCAAAGACCATCGCCTGTATTAGGGGCACCTTAGTCTCCAAAGTGACATTGTTGCTTTTTAGTAATTTTTTTTTCTTCAGTACTTTTGAGAAGTCTCTGACAGCAGACTTTCCCAATGTAATTTGTCTTTTAATTTCCTGGCTGCTGGTACCAAGAGTGCTGACTGTAGAGCCAAGTAAACTGAAGCTGTTAACAATCTCAATCTCTTCAACCTGCACCTTGGGTATGTGTTCAAGATGCAATTTTCATATAAGAGAAAATTTTCCTCCTTCTCAGCCCAGTCAATACCAAACAGGGTGTGTTTTAGGATTAAAAAACCATTCACAGCCCCTAAAAATTATTTTAACAAGGACAATGAGTACATTGGTCATTTAGAGTCTGGTTTTCTTCCCTTCTGAAGAAAAATAGGTGTGAGACTTGTAAAGAAGGGAAATTAAGAGAGTATTTTCAAATCAAGTGGAGAAATTACAAAATGTGGGTATTCTGGTGAGGTCTTTACCTTGCTGCAGATGGTTTTCATTCTATGCAGTCTGTCAAGTGACTCCTGGGGACTTCCCAGATATTGCTGAAGTTCTGCATGTAAGATTCTCATTGAGAAGGGAACCATTGAGCCTGGAATAAAAATCAAAGTTTAATTTATTTGTTTGCAATGATTAAGTATGTTTTCTTGCTTTGTGCACCTTCAGGAGGTGTCTGCCAATGGCCTAAATGACCAAGTGATAGCACAATATTCAGTAAATATCTTTATTTTTCCTATAAACCATTCAATAGTTCAAGCTTATACAATACACGTTGGTTTTCTCCATAAGTCTGTATATAAAAAGGTCTAGGAAATTATCAAAGAAGGCTATCACTACTAGTTTTGCATATAACATTAAATCACAGAGTCTCCAAAAAAAAAAAAAAAAGAATGAAATAATTGTCATTCAGGAAAGACAAAATATCAGAACATCATGTATTTACTGACATTGTTTTAGTAAAGTAAGTTCAAGTAGAGTTCGCTTAAACTGAGCTCATTAAAAGAAGAATCTGTATGTAAGTGATGGATTTATATCGAGTACATTCATGGACAACTAGTAAGGAACTGGACAAAGCAGGACAAAAAGGAGGTAGTCAAACAAAGGGGCAGCACAGGCAGAAGTCCTGTGGCGGGGTGCCAGTGCCTGATTCTCCAGGGTGTCTCGGGAGGGCAAGTTCGGCCTCAGAGATGATCCAATATAGCCAGGTTGCAGTCGCCCATCACCTAGGACTGCCCTACAGGGAAGTCAAATAGCCTGTACCCCTAAAATAATGAATATGAAAACGTCCTCCCTATTGCATCACACAGAGTTAGTAAAACATTTTTCAAAATATGCCTACGTAAGTTGCCAATGTATAGTGAGGTCTAGTGATGTAGCCTGCATGGAGTTGTGCTAACCTAAGGTGGTGCTTCTCTGGCAGGTCAAATCCACCAGGAGTTCCACAGAACAAAGTTGGGGCAATCTCCTTCTGTGACGTTAACACTCTCTGAAAACCTGGAGGGTCCGTTTTGAGTGTGTGCCAACTGGATGGCAGTCAGTAAGTGTGTTGCATAAACTGCTAATATTTAGATCTTGAAAACAGTTGAGGAAATTGTCAGAAAACCAGCTGTGTAGCCCTTTCATGTCACTTAATTTCTCTGCGCTCCAATCTGTCCAACGGCCTACTCATTCATTAATTGTTGCTGAATATTCATTATTCTATCTAGGTGAGAATTTGTGGTAGTGCTTTAGCTAACTGAAAGGTCAGCACTGTAACCCACCAGCTGCTTGACAGAAGAAAGATGTGCTAGTGCGTAAAGATTTACAGCCTTGGAAATCCCACAGAGCAGTCAGAAGTTAGAATGAACTCGATGGCAGTGTTCAGGGTTTTAAGAAATACTTTTAACTTGTGATTTTATGATATTTCATGTTCTTTAATAAAGATGGAAACAAGAAAAATCCAAATATAGTAACAAAAATAAGGTAAATAAGTACAATTATTTAAGAACTATAATAGTTCCGTTGTGATTATAAATCTAGTAAGGAAGGAGATAGGAATTATTAAATTTAAAATATATGAAATTATTTTGATGACCCTAAATTTCATATTTCTGAAATGGACAGATGGTATGATTCATTTTAGCATATTGTTGTTATGTGACGTTGAGTTGCTTGCAACTCATAGCTACCCTAAGTACAAGAGCCCTAACCCTGCTCTATCCTGTACCAACCATACTGTCTCTGACACACCTACTCTCACTTACCCCAATCACTGAATCAGTCCATCTCATCAAGGGTCTTCCTCTCCTGTGCTGTTCTTCCACTCTCCCAAACTTGATGTCCTTCTCCAAGGACTAGTCCCTCCTTGCAACATGCCCAAAGTATGTCAGACAAAGCTTCAGAATCCTTGACTTCAAGGAGCACTCCGGCTTCATCCTCTCCAGGACAAACCTGTTTGTTCTCCTAGCAGTCCACGGTATATTCAACACTCTTCTCTAGCACCACAGCTCAAAGGCATCAATTCTCTTTCATCCCTATTCACTGTCCAACTCTCAGATGCATAGCACATAACTGCAATGACTATAGCCTGGATCAGGCACACCTTAGTCTCCAGCCTGACGTCGTTGCTCTTCAGTACTCTTGAGAGGTCCCTCACAGCTGACTTTCCCAGTGCAATTCATTTCTTGATTACCTGGCTGCTGGTACATAGAGTACTGATTGTGGAGTCAAGCAAACTAAAACTGTTAACAATCCGAATCTCTTGATCCATACTGCCAATTGGCCCAGTGGTGAGAATCTTTGTTTTCTTGATGTTGAGCTTCAATCCCATATAGGAGGCTTCAGTCCTTGACCTTCTGCAGCAAGAGCTTCAGGTCCTCCTCAGTTTTAGCAAGCAGAGTTGTGTCATCTGCATAATCCAAGTTGTAGGTGAATCTTCCACCAATGTTGATGCCACATTCATCCTCATACAGCACAGCATCCCTGATGATCTGTTCTGCATACATACTGAAAAGGTATGGAGACAGAATACATCCCTTGCATACACCCTTCCCAATTTTGAACCATACAGTGTCTCCTTCCTCTGTTCTGACAACTGTCTCTTGGTCCAAGTGTAGGTTTTGCATAAGCACCATCAAATGTTCTGGGATTTCCATTCTTCTCAGAGTCAGCCACAACTTGTTGTGATCCACATGGTTAAAAGCCTCTGTATAGTCAATGAAACTCAGTTAGACATTTCTCTAGTACTCTCTGCTTTCTGCCAAGATCCATCTAATATTAGTTATAATATCCCTGGTACCATGACCTCTTTTAAACTCAGCCTTGCACATATGGCAGTTCTCTGCTGACATGTTGCTCCAGTTGTTTATGGATAATTTTCAGCAGAAACTTGCTTGCATGTGATATTAATTCCTTGACAATTTTCGCACTCTGTTGGGTCACTTTTCTTTGGAATGGGAAATATCGATCTCTTCC